TTCTGAGCCCCACACCAGACAGGGCAAGCCAGGAGCTCAGCCTGGGACAGGAGATGGCGTCTGTGTTCAGTCTGCCAGTGCCCAGGGGACAGCCATGTACCCCGGCAGCTGCACACCCGGCCTTACTCAAGGCCCCACACTTCTCTGGTGACCTGGGAACTTGACAGCCTTTGGGTAGTCAACAAGCCTCTCTTGCCAGGTCGAGAGATGACTCCTGTAGACGACTCTCCTGGGACTGAGGACACAGTGGGGGGAGGGGATGTGAGCACTCTGGCTCCAGAAACCTGGGTCCCCTCCCTCTTTACTCCTTGATCTGGGCAGGGCCTCTGCCCGGTTCGGCTCAGACACATCCCCGGTCCAGTCCTCACTCTGGCTGTCATGGGCCAGGACATCCGCCCAACAAACCTGACGATGCCTGGGCCTGGGAAACCCGATGGGGTGGGGGCCCCCCAGGCTTTCTTCACATTGCTCCCAAACTCACCACCCATGGCTGAGGCTACCCTTCCCAACCAGTGTCGTACTGACCACACCAACCTTTCCCCCAGATAGCCTCTGGAGCCTGAGCCAGTGACCAAGGCTAAGAGCGAAGGAGGCGCCTCACAGAGGCCAGGGGATGCACAGGGAGCTAAAAATACAGTCCACACACAGGCTGCTCCTTCCCTGAAGGCCCCTGGGGCTTGCTGGGGAGGCTGGCAGGGACACAGGATCTGCTTGTACCAGTCAACAGGTGTGGCCCAGGGCACTGGCCTGCTTCCCTCTCCCCTCTACTGACCCTCCAAGACCTGTCCCCTGCATGAGTGAGCCCCCTCCACAGTCCCCCACGCCAGGACTTGCCCGTTCCTCTGCTTCCCTGATAGCATCCCTCCTCACCTTCCAGGCTACGATGCAGGCTTAGGCCTCTTGCCTCTCTGTTTGGGGGTGCAGCCAGTCTGGACCAGTAGAACCCCATTTTCACTCTGTGAGTACAGCAGAGCCAGGATTATAGACTCAGGGGTACAAAGCACAGCTCTTGCTCCAGAAGAAGTAAGACCGTTTACTCGGAGCCAAACATGGGTGAACAGTGTTGGGAATGGGTTCATGTCATATATACACACGTGTGTATATATGACACTATTCACTGTTCCGGTTTGTGAAGTGTTTATTTCCTAGCTTGCTTTTTTTGAGACAAGGTCTCATGTAGCCCAGGCTAGCCTTGAACTCCTCATTCTCCTGCCTCTACCTACCAAATGCTGGGATCACACGCATCCACCACCACCATGTCCTACATGAACTTTTTATAGTCAGGTAACAAGCTAATATAGGAAATCAAGGCACTTAGCAAACGCATTGGTGAGGACAGCAGACGAGGTGTGTTACAGGAAACCCTAGATTCCAAATGCCAGCCGAAGACATTCTTAGATTTGGGGCTCTTGGGAGCTAATGGTTTCACTTGGTAGTAGAAACATGTGACGATAGATAGAGGGGTGGGTGATCAACGGCTAAGGATATGGGATATAGCCCGCGATAATGCCGGCTTTGGATCTGCAACACTCCAACTCTCCGTAACCACAGGGCTCTAACCAGTCAGTCAGTCTGCAGGATCTTCTATATAGACATAGCCTCACTCTGGCGTATACACCCCCCCATCCCCCGTTTTTCGAGACAGGGTTTCTCTGTGTAGCTTTGGAGCTTTTCCTGGAGCTCACTCTACAGCCTAGACTGGCCTCGAACTCACAGAGACCTGCCTGGCTCTGCCTCCCGAGTGCTGGGATTAAAGGCGTGCGCCACCACCTCCCGGCTTGGGGTGAACACTTTTAGAGCCCCCACTCTTACACGTGAAGACACAGAGGCACAGAAGGTTAGGAATTTTGTTCAAAGCCGCAGAGCTGTGAGCCAGCACGTCAGAACCCAGGGCGTCTGTGCTTTGAGGCTCCGCAGTGGTCTGATTTGGTTTCCCTTCCTCGCCTTCTCATCTTTCTGGCAGCACTAATGAGCACCAGGCCTGGGCGTTCTGAATGCTTATTTTAGTGTCTGGATTCCATCCCGAGTCCCAGGGGCCAGAGAGAAACGGTCTCTCTCGGTCCTGGCGCCCGGCAACCGGGGCACCTGCTGCCATCTAGTGGCGACTCGGAGGAACGCCCCTGCCTCACATGCTGGAGTGTGTTCACCGCCCCTGGCCTGGTAGACCCGCAATGCTTTCTGCGTTGTTAGAAGATGAGTCACTCACACTCCTGGCTCTCAGCGTCTCCAAGTCAAATTCTTGTGAGGCAGATATTGGGGCAGAAACCACGGAGGGCTGGCAGGAGAGTGGGAGGGAGTGTGGTGCGTGGGTTCTGCGGGAGGTGAGCCCCAGATGGAAGGACCTGGTGGCCAGGCGAGGACCTGGGGCAGACCTGGCCCTGCGTGAGGTCTTTCTCCCGGGGCTGAGGAGAAACACGGGGCCCCCGGGGCTTCCTAACGTGGTGGAGGGAAGGTCGCTTTGGCAGGTGTGTGGATGGCCGTGAGGGTAGCTCAGCTGGGTCATGACCTCATTTCTTCCACCATCTGTAAAGCGAGAATTTTAAAAGGTGTTCATTTCTCAAGTGTCATCACGAGAATTGTGTGTGTGTGTCTGTGTATCTGTCTCTGTGTATGTCTGTGTGTCTGTGTGTGTATGTCTCTGTGTTTCTATGTGTATGTCTCTGTGTGTATGTGTTCATGTCTGTGTGTCTTTGTGTATGCGTATGTGTGTGTATGTCTATGTGTCTATGTGTATGTCTCTGTGTGCGTCTGTGTGTGTGTGTGTGTATCTGTGTATGTGTATACATGTCTATGTGTATGAGTGTGTGTGTGTGTGTATCTGTGTATGTGTATACATGTCTATGTATATGCGCGCGCGCGCGCGCGCACATGTATCTGCAAGCATGCACGTGGCATCCAGAGGAGGACATACACAGGGGTCCTGCTCTGTCACTCTCCACTTGATTCCCTTGAGACAGGATCTTTCACTGACCCCAGAACATGCTGCTTTGCAGTTGGGCTAGGCTGGCCAGCACGCCCTCCCAATCAGCCCGTCTCTACTGCCACCCCCAGGCCCAGCACGAAGGTCACAAGCACAGGCGGCCACGCCCGACTTTTCCCCTTGGTCTGGGGTTCAGGGCCTCACGTGTGTTATTCTTCCTTTCTGCACCGCATCTCCAGCTCCTCACCATGAGTGCTAAAGCAGGGAGCAGATGCAAAGACTCAGCGAGGCCCGTGTGCAGCAGGCACTCCATAATTGCACGTTCTGGTGTAAAGTACTGAGGAATCATGAGAGACCCATCTGTTCTATCAACAACTACATACATGTGTATTGTGTATGTGCATATATGTAGTGTGTATGCATATATGTGTATGTGATGTGTGACCCAGTAGGAGTTTTTTGTTTGTTTGTTTTCGAGACAGAGTTTCTCTGTGTAGTTTTGGTGCCTGTCCTGGATATCACTCTGTAGACCAGGCTGGACTCGAACTCACAGAGATCCGCCTGGCTCTGCCTCCTGAGTGCTGGGATTAAAGACGTGCACCACCACCGCCCAGTAGGAGGTTCTTATGAGCAGAATGAAGAAAGGATGTGTTAGGAGGAAAATTCTGGAACATTCTACGTTTACTTACACTGACTTAGAAGATGAAAGGGAAAGAGGGGCGGGAAGTTAATCAGGCAAAACCCGGAGAGATTGTCTCACATCCCTGAACGTGCTGTGACCTTGCCTAGGACCCCATCAGGGCTGACCTCCACAGCCGCCTGCCCCATTCACGTCTGAGCTTCCAGACAGCTGCTCTACCAGGCTGGTCAGAGGCAGCCATCTCCACTCCTCGTGGACTGCCGCTCACCCAAGGCTCCCCTCTCTGTTTTATCTATCTACAGGCATCACAGGTTCGTTGTCGACAACACATTGCCTGCCTCCGAGTTCTCTATAAAAATACCCTTCGCTCTGGACTCAGCAGACACGTTCTCCACTGCCGCCGTGAGCAGTGGGCACCTGTCCCAGGGTCACTTATTTCTGGAAAACATCTAAAATGGCTCAATAAACCCTTCTATTTCAGATATCTTTTTGAAAAAATTTGCCTCACATGCTATTCCTGGCATAAAGACTGAAGCCAGGTCAGGTTGGTGGGTTAGGACTGGGCTTGGATGTGGGTGACACCAAATTCCAGATAACAGGGTCCCCAAAGTATTAATTTCTCTTTCATTTGGAAGTGCACTGGGAAAGACATCTACTGGGTTCTGTGTATGTGTGCTTGTGTGCGTGTGCGTGTGTGCGCGTGCGCGCGCGCGTGCGTGTGCGTGTGTGTGTGTGTGTGTGTGTGTGTGTGTGTGCGCTTGTATGTATGTGTGGAGAGGTTGGGGTGGTGGTGGTGGTGCAAGCGTTCATATGTGCATGTGAGTGTGTGTGTGCGTGCGCGTGCATACGCACTGATTTGCATACCTGAACACAGAGGCTGGAGGATGCCCGAGGACTGCTCTATGACTCCCTACCTATTTTTCTGCGGCTGAGTCTCTCACTGAACACAGTGATTCTCCTGTCTCCACCTCCACAGTGCTGGGTTATAGGTTGCACTTATAACCACGTTTGGCTTTTTCTGTGGGTGCTGGGCATTTGAACCCAGATTCTAATGCTTGTGCAGCAAGAGCTGTTACCACTGGGGCATCTTCCCAGCCCCTAAAGAATTGTTTTAAAATAATTTTTTAATGGTTTGTTATCATTAAATGCTTGATTTGTCTAGCTATTTTTTGCCTTTTAATTTTTAAAACAGGTTTTTTTTTTTTTTTTTTTTTTTTGGTTTTTCGAGACAGGATTTCTCTATGTAGCTTTGCGCCTTTCCTGGAACTCACTTGGTAGCCCAGGCTGGCCTCGAACTCACAGAGATCCGCCTGGCTCTGCCTCCCGAGTGCTGGGATTAAAGGCGTGCGCCACCACCGCCGGCAAAAACAGGTTTTTAATTGTAATATTATTACATCACTTTCCTCTCTCCAGCCCCTCCCACACTCCCCACTCTCAAGCTGATAGCCTCTTTTTCTTTTATTATTGCTGTTGCATACATATATGTGTGCGTGTACGCATGTGTATGCGCAAGTACATATAACTGTCACCTGCCGAGTCTGTTTACGTTGGTGGTGTGTATATGATTCCAAGGCTGACAACCAATTAGGAGGCTCACTCTTGGGAGAGGTGAAGTCTCCATCCCCTAGCGGTCATTATTTGCTTGTAGTTCTTTGTGTAGGGTGGGACCCTGCAAAAGATTCCCCCTTTCATGTTAACGTTTCCAATGATATGGCCATTGTTCTGGTCTTGTTTATGCAGCCATTTCTAGGAGAGACGGTTTCACAGCAGACTTCCTGGTCCTCTGGCTCCTATGATTTCTCTGCCTGCTCTTCTGTGATGTCCCCTGAGCCACAGATGCAAGGGCTGTGATGCAGACGTGTCTTCTGGGGCTGGCTTCCCACAGTCTGTTGAACTCCGCCTTGTGTCCAGTTGTCGTTTTCTGTGATGGTCTCCATGTGCTGTAGAGAGAGGCTTCCCTGATGAGCGGCGGGAGCTACACGTATCTCTGGGTGTAAGGATAAGATTTAGAATGTAGAGCTGGGTGGTGGCGCACGCCTTTAGTCCCAGCACCAGGGAAGCAGAGGCAGTCGAGAGCTCTGAGTTCAAGGCCAGCCCAGTCTATGGGGCAAGTTCTAGGACTGCCAGGGCTACACAGAGATACCTTTTCTTGGAAAACAAAAAACAAAGAAGTTTTAGAAGGCAGGAAGGAATTATGCTGATCTAGCGAAGTGTGGGAGCAGACTCTCTTCTGAGGTCCATGGCCTCAGCAGCCCGGGGAAAGCTGGCATGTTTCCCTTCTGTGGAATGGGCCTCAAGTCCAAACAGGGGATCAATATCCAGAATCTGCGAAGACCTCAAAAACAAAGAGTCAAGGAAACAAATGACAATTAAAAATGGGCTAGGGATCTAAACAGGGAGTTCTCAATAGAAGAAATAAAAATGGCTAAGAAATACCTCAAAATATGTCCATCATCCTTAGCAATGAGAGAAATACAAACTAAAGCAACTCTAAGATTTCACCTCACCCCACTCAGAAGGGCTAAGGACAATAAATGCTGGCGACACTGTGGAGAAAGGGGAGTCTTCATTCACTGTTGGGGGGAATGTACATCTGTGCAGCCACTCCGGAAACCGGTATGACGAATCTTCAAAAAGTAAAACTAAATCTACCCAGCGACAGAACTTGGCATATGCCCAAAGGATGACATCCTACTCCACAGATACTTGCTGAGCCATGGTCATTGCCACCCTGTTTACAGCAGTCAGGGAATGGAAAACAAACAAACAAACAAACAAACAAACAAACAAACCTAACTGTCCTTCAACAGATAAAGGGATAACGAAACCGTGGCCATAAAGCACAGTGGAATATTGATGGGCTGTAAAGAAAAATGAAACCATGAAATGTTCAGGTAAATGAGTGATGCTAGAAAAGATCATGGTGAGTGAAATAACCCAGACCAGACATTCAGCGCCGCGGGTTCTCTCTCGTCTGCGGTTCCCAGCTCCAAATGCGCAGGTGTGAGAATACACATGGAGTAACCACAGAGAGCAGGGAAGCGTAAAGGGAGCATGGGTGGGGGGGTGGGAACAGCAGGATACAGGTGATGTGAAGTGGGAAATGGAAGTGGGGGGAGGGGCTCTGGCTGGGGATGAGGGAGGGAGATCAGTACAGAAGGGGGAGGGATGACACCAGGTTGTTTAATAAAGCCCCGGGGAATCATATTATTTTATATTCACGTAAAGACTATATATGGCATAAATATATCCTAAAGGAAGCTAGACCTCTGGGGCTGACCATGCTCCCCACAAGAACCACAGACTAACAAAAACTCCAGTAGCAGGCATAATAAACCTTTCAAATGGTCGCTCGGGGTAGCCCTGGTGACTCCCCGAACAATATAGATTATTGATGTAGCCCTTGATCGCCTCTGGGGGCTGAGAATCGGCCTCTGTTGCTGAAGGCACCGCACACTTAGGACACAGGACTCAGAAGATTTGAGGTGGATCTGACCTGAAAGTCTCTTTCCCGTAGTCTGGCTTCCGTGGTTCCAGAAAACACTGTGTGCCGGCTGCCAAGGAGGGAAGCAATTAGATAGTTCTACCCAGCTGCACCACCCATGAACCGCTACCACGGCCAGCACAGGAAGGGACGCATGAAAGGTGCAGAGTGACGCGGGTCAGAGGCATCAGCAGCTCCGTAGTTCGTTATTTTAGATACCTATATAGTTAAGATTGCGGGACACTGCCTGGGGTGTAAAGGGGTCCCAAATTCAAGGCCTGCAGTCAGCTACTCCCGTCCTTGAGATAACCACACAAGGACCAGCAGCCATTTTTTTTTAGAAGGGACCTGGTCCCCAATTGATGCATAACTGCAGGCTTCTCGTTGCCTGCCTTATAAAGCTTCACCAGGCTTTCCGAAGGAGGAGCAAGCTTTGCATCTATTTTTCTTCCCAGTTAACGCTCACATCCGGAGCCACTCACGCACCCGAGGCTGCTCTGGGTTTTGTTAAAGCACACCCTTGGCTCACCCAAACTGTCAAGACACAGAACACTGTCATCACCCCCCAAAAGTGCCCTTTCACCCCTTCGCCGCGTCTCTCAGCCTCACCCACCTCCTACACACTCTCTTCACTGGTGACGAGGGCAGAGGCATGCGCTCTCGGCCGCTGGATTACATCCAGGGCCCATCAGTTTTTTTAAACCACCGATAGGTTCGAGCAAAAAAGACACTTAGGTGCTTGCGGTGCGGATGTGGCCAAGGTGGTGGTGGTGGTGGTGGTGGCGGCGGCGGCGGCGG